TGTGGGCTGGGGTGGGGGGGGGGGGGTTGGATCAGGTGCAGTAGAAGGCTGTGGAGCAGAATTGGGACACAGACAACGAGATGACAGGCCAAGGGGTATCGTGGTGTTTCGTGGTGTCTCGAAGTTGAGGTTCAAAAGGCCGTTGTGCAACGTGAATGATAGTTTGGAGCTAGGCCATTGGTGTCATGGCGCGGCGCCGGGGGGGTGGGGGGCAAGTGGCCATCAACCTCGTGTGCGTGAACCGGGGTCAATGACATGCATCACAGGTCTCCCGAATATTGACTTATTTCTTTTCTCTGTCTCCCTTTCTCTCTTCTTTTTGCATGGAATATTCTTTGTCGTAGTTGGTCTTTGAAGCCATGTCTGGAGAAAATGACTCCACAGACTTCAATGTACGCAATAGACAGCCACGTACGTACAACATGTAGCCCAGGGAGTCCTTCATTAGACTCTATATGCGGTACAACACTTGCAATCGCTTTGGCCATCTCGTCTGTCATTGATATCATCAACACATCCGTCTCCCCTCCTCCCGTGTGGTCATCTCCCCATCAGCTCGACACCCCCCCTCACGACCCCGACAACAGCACCAGTCTGCACCGTCTCACTGCCGCCGCCGGCAACTCTATGCTCGACATCCGCCAACCCATCCAACCACGATATCATCACCTCCGGGCTAACCTCCAGCTTGACCAACTCCTCCGATAGCGCCGTAATGATATCTGCCAGCGCCAGGCCCCTCGTCACCTTGAGGGCATTCATCGTGCTCAGACAGCTCATCACATCCGACGTGTTCAGCAGCGTTGTCACAATCTCCTTGATAGCATCCGGCGGCGGTGCCGCAATGCAGTTATATATCGTCTCCGTCGTAATCATCTCACGCTTGATCTCGCTCTCTGGAATCTTGGGCGCATTCTTCGCCTGGAGAGGCGTACCTGCCAAAATCACAATCAGTAAGAAAAGAAAAAGAAGGGGGAAAAACGCAAATTCAAAGACCATAAAAATGCTCGTGACAACGTACTTGAAGCGTGGCAAGCCTGCAGCACATTCAAGGCCCTTCTCATATCACCCTTGCTGAGTTTGATCAGGGCGTCCACCGCCTCCCCACCAATCTGCACATTCTCCTCCTCGACGACCTTTTCCACCAAGACCCGAATGTCCCCCTCCTTGAGTGGGCTGAATCTAAACCTGGTACACCTACTCAGCAGCGCGGGACTCAGCTTGTGCGAGTAATTCGCAATGATGCAGAATCTCGTATTGACAGTGTACTTCTCCATGATTCGTCGCAGCGCCATCTGCGCCGTGTTGGTCATGGCATCCGCCTCGTCCAGGATAATCAGCTTGAACCCAGCAATCGAGGACTTTGCCGAGGCGCCCATGGTAAAGATTTGCTTGGTGCTGGCAAAGGTCTTGATTTGCTCGCGCACCACGTCGATGCCTCGGTCGTCCGAGGCGTTGAGCTCCAGCACCATTTGGCGCATGTTGGCAGCTCCGTAGATGCGCCGAGCGAGGGCTAGGATTGTCGACGTCTTCCCTGTCCCCGGGGGTCCATAGAGGAGCAGGTGAGGGAGGCGATTGGAGTCGACGAATTTGTTGATGGTGGCGAGGATATCTTGGTGGCCCGAGACGTCGTCGAGGGTTGCGGGTCGGTATTTTTCGATCCTGGGCTGCGTTTAGATACTGGTTGGGGGCTGTACAGAGCTGGGGCAACGAACCATGGCAAACTGTCTTCGGCTTCGACGGGGAGGTTTGCTGTACTTCGTTTGCCCTTGGTAGCTTCCGAGGAGAAAATCACGTCCTTGGACGTTGCGGGGGCGTCGATGTCCATCTCATCTTCAAAGTCCGACATGGTGTCGGATTTGTACCTTGTTACGCAGAAATTGGCTCGTCTTGATAATTGGGCAATGAAGCTTACAAGGACTTGACGTGGTCCTCCTAGGCGCTGATAAAAGCCGGGTGAAGCTCGCAGCCGGGCTACGAGCGAGCGCGTCGACCGCGCCAGTTCGTGTCGCCCATTAAAATCCCTGCCCCAAACCTCCCCACAAAACCAGCCGCCAAGGAGCTAGTCCCTTTACAGAGCACAGGATGACTTTGTACAGCGTACCTAGGAGGTATGTATCGTAATAGTACAGAGTAGATTGGAATAAAATGAACCATTCAAAACATTTCGACCCCTTGGTAGTACAAGGTAGTTTGTATAATATTATGAAGATAATATGGATATGCAACATCTATCATGGACAACGCTATTTACTACTACATCCATTAGGACGACCTAGGTCGGCAGCCTGCTCACCAACCCGACGTCTCACCAAGAATCCCATAAACAAGTTCCCTCTTCATGAAGAAATAAACGCACATAATAGAGGGGGCGCAGTCATTTCATTGCGTCTGAAGTTGGAGGTGGTTCGTCCCTAGACCGACATACTCAAACATGATTGGGATTTGCGCAGTCGCAAACCATGCAATTCCTGTGTACAGTCAGTCAACCTGTAACCCCTTCCGTCATCAACAGAGATGGTTGAGAACAATTTCGTCAACTTACCGGCATAAACTACTAATTTCGTTACCACTTCAACATCGTACCTCACACGTGGGCGGACCAAACGCGAAAACATTTCCTCATCGTCAAGTTCCTTCTCCTCGGGAACGTCACCATTCTCCTCCCCACTTGATATCGATACTTCACCATCTACCTTCTCATGACCTTGGGAATTAGGCTTCTGCACTCCTGATGTCTGAGCCCCTTTTCCAGAGTGGTCCTCTTCCTTGCCCTGAAGATCCATGTTACTAGATTTGCTTCGTAAACTTTGATTGCTGCTAATGCTTTCTCTGCGTCTTCGTTCCCGGTATGCCAAGGCCTCATACGCATCCGCAGCGCTTTGGGGACCAATGGAAACGGATCGCCCACGAGTCGTGGGATGCCGGATGCCTTCAACCATTCGAGGAAAGTCAGAGGCCTTGGGGAACAGTGTGTCCAGACGAGATCCTGGAGGCACCGACTTATATTCACTGGCGGGTGTGAAGTATCTCCGTGGCAGATCCCAGCCAAGTTTTTCTATAAGACGGAAGAGATGAGGAAGAAATTTGAGCAGAGCAGGCTTCATGGTTTCCCTCCAGGCGAAGATCACCAAAACTCCAAATACAATTCGCGCGACGTTGATCCATAGACCCAAGGGCGCAACGTCAATGGTTCCGTCGCCGTAGGCATGAGTCTCCCAAGGGTCCGACGAGATCTTGCCATACGTCCAAGTTCCAAATTCAACGCCAATCACGACTCCGGCAAAGGCAACGCTGTCGTCAAAGCAGGGGCAATCATCCGCCGGCTCGGGGTGTATGCGCACAAAGACAATAATGACAAGGCCTGCAACGACAGGAGCAATCCAGGAGCTAGAGTGCATAAAGGCATCAAAGGAGGGGCCGTGGTAGAATTCGACAAGACCAATGCCAGCACCAATGATGGAGCCGACCAAGACATCCAGAAACCCATGCATGCCACAGTACAAGCGACCAAAGACGATGGATGCCGCATAAAAATACGAGAGGCATTCCAAAACGATCTTGGCCGTCGGGGGCAAAGTGTTGTCGGGACTGTGCAAGCTGAGGAGTCCGTATACGGCCACAGAGAGCGCATTGGCGCTATGCGTTGAGGGAAACCCGTATTCCAGAGCAGCAGATCCAGACATGGTGATCCGATTGAGTGGCGGCGAGAGCGGTCGGGGCAGAGAGTAAAAGTCCTTGATGAAGCCTGTCCAAAAGACACCAAGAGCAAGCATATGCACCAGGCTGAAAAAAAAAAGTCAGTACAAATAGAACAAGAGCAACGAGAACAATACCACATACCCCTTGCCTAGAGATGCCCAACCACACCAGAAACATATTGGCAAGCCAATCATGAAAAACGTATGGGTGCCCAAGTTGGCAGTGATGGCAAAGTAACTATCCAGAGCAGGCGTCCTCAGCTTCTCCTGCATCCAGGCCAAATACGGCGTCTCCCATCGAATCAGCGGAATAGCCTGTTGCCGAAGATTATATCGCCATCGTGGAAGAGCTCGCTTGTCTACATGCAAGTCGTTAGCTACAGCGGTGCTCCTCGAACTCGGATCCAAAGCTCCCACCACCACCCCACGCAAGGTATGCATTCATTCCTCTTTCTCCAAGATGCAAACCGGTCGCCCTCTAGCGCCCCCCTCTTCTCCATGTCTGTCATTCGGCTCATTCGGTCATACTCACAGTGATTGATACTCCTCAACCCCGCATCAGGAACATTGTCGGCCTTGGGGACAGGAGACGTCGTAGGTGGCGGGGCATCGCGTCGCGTGCCGCTCATGGTCGGGATTCGCAAGTAATGAGCGGCAGATGGGGGCTTGGATTGTCGTCAATTAGGGGCGCCGGCTGGACTCAGGCGGCCGACATTGAGGTTCAAAGGAGAAAGGAGCGTAGGGTGACCCTCTGGAGCCAGACGGCACGCAACGAAAGGAGAGACGAGCGAGGGTTGAATGCGAAAGAGCAAAAGTAATGAATAGTAACTGACTGGCGGGTTGGAAAAATGGAGACATTTGGACCAGACAACCAGACGGCATCGGTTGATGGAGCTGAGCAGGGACCCTCCCAACCTAGCTGAACATGATCTATCTGATTGTCATGAAATGATTACTACATGTACCGAGTACTGATGCGCATTGTTGCCCAATTTTTTTTTATACACGAATACAGCCATGTTTGCTCTCACGGCTTAGTTCCGTCAATCTAAGCCTCCTTTTTGCAATTTCAGGGTCTGAGTCTTCCATGTTCATGTTCCGAGTCCCCACACCAGACCAGGTCTAGAGACCACCTGTGGTCGGCCACTAAGCCCGTGGCCACGCCTCTTGCTGAGGGACCAGTTTGTTGGAGGCTGCTTTGGATTGGCAAACTGACATCCTCGAATGCTCACTACTCGACAGCGTGCATGTGGGCAACGGCCAGGTCAACCGAGCTAGTCCAGGGGTAAATGCAACAATGCGACACAATGTCACGGTTCCTCAGCCGTCGTCATACTTGGCGGCTACATATGTCACTACATACATCTTGGTGCCACCGAGTACCCCTCCGTAGTCCTCCGTACTCCCTTCTCTCATCATGTGAGAATTTCAAAGGGCCAAATCTAACATTTCAAAGCAAGCAAAGCATCCAGCTGCCTATTCATGATCAAAGATGGAGCGAGAGCACAGCCCATTGCTCGGCCCCAAGCTCCCAATCTGCCACCTCCCCTCCACGGCGGCTCCATCCGTAAACTAACCCGATCCAGCACCAAGCTCAACCACAACCACTCACCACTCACCACCCACCACTCGCCACTTACCACCATAATACTAGACTCTCTACTCTATCCCCAAGTCGCAGCACACATCAACCCTAAGCATGAACCCCCTCGCAGGCAAACACGCCGTCGTCGTCGGAGCCACCGGCACAATAGGCGCCCACATAGCCCAGGCCTTCGCAGCCCAAGGAGCAGTCGTATCTCTCCTCGGCAGGACGGCCCTGCAAGCCCGAACCAAACTAGAGCCCCAACTCGCGCCCTACACAGCATCACACGGCCAAAATCCGCCATCCGATACGCCTACCAGCCACCGCTTCATAAGGCTAGACGTCGCAGATAGGGCGAGCATAAAGCATGTTTTTGGCCCTCGGGCCTCTCAGGTAAGCATCGCGCTGTTTGCCCGTTTCTGTCATGGACACTTTGTCAAAGCTTACTAAAAGCCCGGCAGCATGCCGAGCAGCACGTCGAGACGGTTGGGCCGCTGGATGTTCTCGTCAACTGTGCGGGTATTTCTCAGACTACGCTTCTGAAGAGGACGCCTGATGAAGAGCTCGCTAGTATTGTCGATACGAATCTGCTGGCTACCATGCTTGTGTGTAAGCACGCCAGGGTTCGGCCAAATGGTGAGGACGCAAACCAGCCACGAGTACAATGCCGCCTGCACATGTGTCGTGCGAGTCTAATAAAAAAGACAGGCTGCATCATCAACGTCTCCAGCTTGATGGCTACGAAATCCGGCCTTGGTGTTACTGCATATTCCGCTTCCAAGGCAGGCGTTGTGGGTACGTGATATTCATTCGTCATTTCTACATATCCTTTCCGCGCCATCTTCTTTGCGAGATGCCTACTTTTACACTACAGTTAAAAAAAAAAGAAGAAGAAGAAAGTTGCCGCCCGGCTAACCTCGGTCAATGCAGCTTTCACCCGTGCTCTGTGCAGGGAAGTGGCCGCCAGATCTATCCGTGTAAACGCTCTCCTACCGGGCTGGGTACAGAGCTCCATGTGGGATCGTAAGAACTTCCTCCCCTGTTCTGTCCAGATGCCCTTCCCGTCGTCCACCCTGATCTTGATATCGCCAAATGCCAACCTGAGAGGAAAAAAAATCAAGCTGAATAATTAAAACTAACATAGCCAATGATGCCTCCCTTTTAGATCTGAAACCAGAGCTGCAACAGGCCTATTTAAAAGATACGCCACTTAACCGCGTAGCACATCCTGCTGAAGTAGCGGATGCTGCGGTTTTCTTGGCTTCCAATGGATTTGCTAATAACTGTGTTCTCAACCTCGATGGCGGGTTGAGTGCCGCGTGAAACAGAGAGCGGAAGAGCAAACTCCGACATTGTCGTCTGTGACCATGTCGCCTGTAACAATGCCACTTCAGTCGTCAGGAATGACAATGGCACCAGCGTCGTCTTGAACAAGCACAACATCATCCTCGGCACTGGCAACCCTCGCTTTTTTGGTCGGCTGCGCATCGTCGCCTGGATGGGTTCGTTTGAGAGTCCCGCCTTGCGCGTCGTCGCCTAGATGAGCTCGTTTGAAAGCCCTGCTTTGTGCATCATCACCTGGATGAGCTCTTTTGAGAGCCCTGCTTTGCGCATCCTGGTCTGAATGCTTGCCGTTTCGCTGGACGCCGTTGGAATCGCCATTGGCTGCAATTAAAATCTTCTTGGGCTTCTGAGGAATCTCAGGGTGTTTCTCAAAGTCAACCTCAACAGGCTTATCCTGGGTCTCAACAGCACTAAGGGACAGTTAGAGTCTGTGTATTATTAAACTTATCCAATACCACATACCCTTCCTCAATATTAATCACAATATTGACCAACGGCTCATCATCATCTTCGTCAATGACGGTAAGGAAGCTTCCTCCTTTAATGCCTTATTAAAAGGTTAGTTATCCAAAGGTCTTCTCCAAAAATTTGCACCAGATATACATACCAAGATCCGAAAGCTTCTTCGGTAGATTATCAGTCTCATCCGAATCGTACACGATACCAACTTCGTTATTGAGGACAAATTCCTTCTTTTCAAGCCCGAGCTGTTCCTTGATAATATCCTCTACAACATCATTCAGGGTTGCCCTAGAAAGATCAACCTTAATAGTGACATTGAAAGCACTGCACACAGGGCATTCTGGGTTGGGCTTTCGCGAAGTATCCGAGCCGAGAAGTCTAGTTGGGGCAAAGGGTTGCAAAAACACCTAGAAAATAGTCAGCATCTAGTCTGGCTGGATGAAAGTGACATGTTCTTTTCCAATCCTACCTCTTTAGCCTGTCCATAGTCTCCCTTAAGAACTTTGAATGCCTCAAGGATGCATAGACCAGCGACAATGGCGTTTGTGGTGGCAATAGCTGGGATAATATTTCCCGCCATTTCCTTAATATCGAATCGTGATTTACGATCAATTCCAAAAATGGTTGACCTGATGTTGGCGCATGAAGCCACGAAATCCAGCGCATCAATATCGTCCTTGTCGAAGCTAATCGTTGGCTCAGGACCAGATGGGTCTTTGTTCTTTTTCAGGTCCAGCATTCGCTTGCTCAAGCGATCCAGGCTGTCCCTGAACACGACAAGATTCTCTTCGAGGGTCCACACCCGCTGGTCATCGCTCAGAATATCGTCCTTTGATGCGATAGCATCCGTAGCCTGATTGAAAACAGTTTCGTAATTCAGAGGCGTAGGTTTTCTCCGTGACTTCCACATGTCCTCGACTGATCGCAGTCTCTCGATGTCGCTGTTGAAGACTTTATCGAAGAGCAATTGGGGGAAGTTTGCGGTGCCAACCGCGTCACGGATCTTTTCTAAAGCCTCGGACTCTTTCTTGAGCTCTTCTATCTCGTGGGCTAGTGATATTGGCATTAAAAGTCAGACCTTGTAGCCATCAGGAATAGTAGCCCACTTACCGTTCTTCGCATCCTCCGAATGATCAAACGCAGATTGGTCCTCACTAACGCCGAATATTTCGCTGTAACAGCTGTTAGAAAACTACAACTTTCCGGCTGTGTGGTGGTCTTCACCTACTTCATAAGGTAGCTCTTGCCCCAGACAATGCAATGAATGGGCTGACTCGGTGTGCTTCGGATCGTGCAGACGGGGAATGTTTTGGGTGTCTCCTTGGCAGTACAATCGTAGCATGCCGTCACACCCTTTTTGATGACTTGAACTTGGCCATTGAAACCAGTGGTGCCACTTTCGATCAAAGGCACATCCGCAGCAAGGCACATTTTGTTGACATGTCGTCGAGCTTCCAGGTTATCCAATGCGTTGAATACGATGCTAAATTGTCGAAACCACGAAACGGTGAAATTGCCATCTTTAATGTTGGCGTGGTGGGCAACGATTTTGACGGTTGGATTAAACTTCTCGGCGACTTCCTTAGCAACCTACCCAACTGTTAGCCTTTATCCCATGCCATCGACCTTAGACGGCATGCTATATGTACCAGAGCTTTCGATTTCTTTATATGCTCCTGTCGAAATAGGAATTGTCGGTTCAGGTTCGACAGGTCAATTGTATCGAGGTCGACAATATGAATTTCTGAGAAGCCCGTAAGAGCCAGATTCTTGAGCAATTCGCATCCGATGCCCCCTGCACCGACCATCAAAACTCGGGCCTAGGAAATATCACAGTGTCAGCTTCCACCACAAGTTCTCTCGCAGAATCTACTCGCTTTTCTTGAAGATGGCAGTACCAAACAAGAGATAGCTATCAATGTCACGCGAGTCATGCGACCGTATTCACTGCCATCACAAACAATACCAGGAATATATGGCATCTGTAAGATACCTAGAATCGACATACCTGTTTTACAGACGAGTTCAGAGACGCCCCAAGCGACTGGTGGTTGTATCTGTCTCGTGCCATCACTCGTGGGCGATGTTGGGCTGTGAAATTCTGTTGGCTGGCGAGGGCTTGCGTTGGCTGCTGATTCTGGGCCGGAGCTTGCGCAGCCGTTTGTTGAGAGGCTTGGAGAGGTTGAGACTGCTGCTGAGGCTGTTGCTGAGGTTGTGATTGTTGTTCTTGGGCGTCGACAGTCTTTCCAGCTGCTTGACCTGTAACAGGATCAGTTGGCGCAGCTGGCACGGCTGCCAGCGGCGCGGTGGGTTCACTGGCTTGGATCGAAGCCTCCATGGCCGCTGTCGCCTCTCGGCAAGATCAATTCGATGGTTGAAGAGACGACGTCGCTATCGGATGGGGGATAGAGCATGCGAGAATTTTATTCAATGTCGGACAGAGAGCATAGTCGATAGTGGCCGTGTTTCTCGAGACCCTGTTTGATAGACTGCTGAGCGCTTGCGGCTGACGCTTGAATGGCAGCGACAAGTTGCGACCAATTGAATCATGTCGGATGTGCCAGGGATCGTTCCCCATGTGGGTCTTAGGAACGGAATAGGCGGTTCTGATTGGCTTCTCTGCTTCGCTGCCGAGTGCTATCCCTTTCGCCAGTGTACTCGCTTGACTGTCACTTTGCAGAATGCATCACGCATCAGCAAAGACGAAGAAAGTACCATGCACAGCGACGCATTTGTTTTAATTTGCGACCCCTTGGCGACATGCTGCATGTATCTTGTAGCTATGACCGTAGATGTTGCTCAATTGACCCTGAGCACAACCCATCGTGAACCGCAATTCGGCTTTTATAATGGGCGCTGGACGAGAGAGCTGAGAGTCTTCTGCCACCATGACGTCCCTTTTGCGACCGAGACGCCCCGATTGGGCCAGTGACCACCAGGAACAAACTTCTACGGCTTTTTTCCCCTTCCCGTCCATGCAAACTGCAACACCGCCAAATCACTGAATACTACTGCCCTGTCATTTCGACAGTTGCGTTTGTTTCGTTGTGTCTGGTTCTTCTTTTTTTAGAAATGCATGTATGCTGAGCCCATTGTGTAACGGAGCAACCGTCATCCCTTTCACACCGGTATTCGACTCACGTCTCACCAAAAAAAATGTCTGATGATGAAGCGGACCCTGGGCTCCTCGAACTGCTCCGCCAGCACCTGCAAGGCAAACCGCTCGTAAAAGAAGAGGCGGACACAGGTGTTCTAGACGGGGCCGAGTATGTCTACAACCAAGGCATCGATGTGGCCATTGATATGCGGGCTACCAAGGCCGCTGCCCAGACGATATACGCCCAGATGCAGAAGAAGCACTACTCAACGGCCACTTGGTCAGAGCACGAGCTTCATCCCAAGGCGAAAGACGAGACCTCGGTAGCCTTCATCTTCACCATGGATCTGCTGAATTTTTCCTTCTGGTCTGAGTTGCCGGACGATGAGAGGTTTGCTATCGAGTATAACGGGAGGAGGTGGACTGGGTATTGGAGTCTTGTCGCAGCTCTCCACAGGGCTTTGGAAGAAGGCGAGTTGCCAATATCACATTTCCAAGGCCCAAAAACGTACTGACACCCGGTGATAAGACATTCCAATCACTGATCCGCACTATTGGCAAGACGAGCAGGAATGCAACCTAGACTCCCTTCGCCACGTCTTCAGATCGTCCACAGAAGAGGAGATGCCGTTATTGCAAGAACGACTAGACTGTCTCAGAGAAAGCGGCAGAGTATTATATGAGGTGGGCCATGGACAAAGGCCCCGTACAAAAGATCAAAAGGCATGAATAGTTCTAACCCTCCGTTCAGCGATACAACTGCTCCTTCGCAAATGTCATCTCCGCAGCCAACGGCTCAGCGGCCGAACTTGTCAACCTCTTAGCCCGAGACTTTTCATGTTTCCGTGACGAGCACTACTTCGAAGGCAGAAGCAAACCTGTGAGGTTCTTGAAGCGGGCTCAGATCCTAGTCGCAGACATATGGGCCTGCTTTGAGGGCCAGTCGTACGGCACGTTTCGAGACATTGAAAAGATCACCATGTTTGCGGACTACCGCATCCCCCAGATTCTGATTACTCTAGGCGCATTGTACTGCAGTCCGCCAGTTGCGGCGGCCATCAAGGACAGGAAGATGTTCGAAAGTGGAGATCACTGGGAGGTTCAGTTGAGAGGTAACTATCCACCAATCCTAGAATGGTGTGCGTTTATGTGCTAAAAAGATGTTCGCAGCTTGCAGTATATGGTGTGTTGAGTTAATACGGCGTGAAATCGTCCGAGCACATCCGGACACACACGTCAATGCTATTTTGATCGATTTCTTCCTTTACGACCGCATGAAAGAATTAGAAGCCGCGGGCAAAGAACCGTTTCCTCACCATAGAACAAGAAGCATATGGTATTAGAGCTAGCATCAAAGACATTCAACCCGGAAACATAGATTGTTTTCGAGTCATGTCCAAGTAATTCGTCTGATACATGACGAGTTTACAAAGACTAGCGCAATAGAATACATAACATTCATTAAAACAAACGCACACGCCACCAACGCCAGCCATTCTCCGTGATTTCAGCCTCATTCGTAATAGTTGCAAGCAGTGCCTATGATCCAACAGCAATAGAGTTAAGAATATGGTCCATCTGTGCCGTTTCCGCCTCTTTGTTGGACTTCTTCTCCTCTTTCAGTAACACGGAGAGAACCTCAATGGGAGGCCGCAAGCCAAGCCGCTCGGCTCTTTGCCACCGCTTCATGCGATCGATTCCGATGCAAGGCTACACATCAGTTAGTCATCAGCAAGCTCCTATCAAGACGAAAGCAAGGTCAAACGGATGATTACCCCATATTGAGAGCTGACATCAAAGTATCGCAAGACCTTGTCATTCACAGACAATCCTTCTTGATGCACCCTCGGTGCCTTACGTTCCTTCTCAATTCCTTTCCAGTATTTATCGATCTGCGAGTCGGTGAGCTTCTCAGCCTTCAACTCAGCCTCCGTCTTCACCGGAACTTCCTCCTTGAGCTCTGCCTCCTCTTGCTCATCCTCTTCCTCGTCGTCCACTTTATCCTCCACTACTTCTTCGACATTTTTCTCCACGGGCTTCGTTCTCTCCGGGACTTCAATGGTGGTAGTTGCCGGCGTTACCAGCTTGTTCTTGATATCTTTTGGTACGCTCTTTGTGACTTTATTGGCGAAGCTGATCGTTGATTGACCTTTTGCAGGCCCAGTGCGGCCGCGGATTGCGCCACTTGATCGTCGAGTAGTAGGCATGATGTGATGCTAAGCCCCGGTCCTAAAGTATGGGACGATATCCGTCGTATTGTATGATTTTCTAGTATGAAATTAATCCTATGCTCCAAAACAACAGGATGGATACTTGTAGGGTCGTGATTATTCGAATTGCTGGAAAGAAGGGCTAATGTTTGTGGACTTGATTCACAGTTCAACTGAAGCCCAAATAAGTGGGAATGGGCGGGTGCATGTTGGCTATGACGGTTGTAGCAGCTATAATAACCCCGGGGGGGCTGATTCTGGCGGGGCAACGCGAGACTGGAACGCCATCACGTGATCGGACAGCTTCACAGACGCAGGGAGGGAATCTAGGGTGAACGAAGTTAATCATTTTCATTAATGCCAGTGAAGCATTTCATATTGTGTGTCTTCCATTAAGCTCCAGTCGCTTCACGATAGAAGGACAGACTTCTGTTCGCACCGGCCGTGCAGAACATCTCACTCTTCCCAGTCTTGGGAAGCCAACGCGCCGTCCACAATGCTTTATCTGTCTCGCTATGCGTGGCCACACAAGCACTTCGCTCAATGGACCATACCTTGACTTTGCCATCCATTGACCCGCTGAGCAAGTATTCACCCGTATCACTCCAATCAAGAGTCGTAATCCATGAAGAATGGCCGGTCAAATTGCCCACATGTTCACCGTGCTTCATATCATACAGGGCAATGATTCCTGCGTCACCCGCGGCAGCAAGTCTCGAACTCGCCGGCGAGAAGGCTACTGCTCGAACAGGTTTCGAGAGCCCTACATAGCGGTATTTCAGCTTCGTTTTCTCTGCTTCTTTTTCTAGCATCACATACCTGATAGAGAATACAAGATTCTCCCCGTGTCATTGTTGAAAATGTACACTGCTCCGTTTTGATGACCGCTGGCAGTGTATTTGCCATCTCTGCTGAGATCGACGCTCATGCCGAAGCTGCCTGACCCAGCGCTTCCTGTCTCATACTCCAGAAGCTTGGCTTTTTTCTCGTCTGTGATGTCCCAGACGTTGATACGTCCGTCATTTGTTGTGCTGGCCAGATATGACCCATCCTCGCTGAGTGCTACCGCCCAGACCTCACCCGGCTTTACTGCCGGTCCAGTGATTTCGCCGCTGTTTGACCACTCGCCAGTGTCTTGGTTTAACGCCCAGAGTTTCACTTCTCCTCCGAAGCCTGCACTTGCTGCGACCTTTCCATTTCTTGATGTGCTGATGTGGTGGCAACCGAGTTTGTGCGCGTTAGAGATGGACTGCTTCAAAGGGAATGAAGGGTCAGTTGTGTCGTGCACATGGAGCGTTGATGATCCACCGGCTGACAGTACCGCCTCCGGTGTCGTAGCTATCGAGAAAATATCCGTGATATGAGCTGCAACCCTTGGTGTTAGCTACTGGTGTGGAAAAGTGCGTTCCAACCTCCGCGACTTCAGTAATGAGGGGGCAGAGTGTGCAGGCATACCATCATCCACAGTATGGGTTGTCAGATACTGCTTTGACTATATGATACGGTCAGTAGTCGCGCGAAAGTCCAAATTATGAAGAGTGCTCACCATCTTCTCTATCACAGGCGGCTACAACGCTTGGCGTGCTATGGTCTTGAGTTGGATGTAGGAGGATGCTTCTCACATCGATCATGGTGGGGCAGGATTTGTACTGTTGAGGCTATGGGTTGAGCTACAACTTGGGCTGTCATGCCGCAACGGCATTTTGCACTTTGCCTTTAGTATGAAGCTGAAAAATATTTGAAATATATTTCCTCATTTCAACTACAAATAATAGCAACTCCTAATTCCATAAATGGCATCAAGACAAATGGGTACAGAATACATCATGCAAACCTTTGCTTTTCAGGTTACATCATAATGTCCATCAAAAGTAGAACGTGATTTTTTTTTTTAATCTGCAGTATCTACATACAGTATGCAAGGCTATCCTAGCCAAACGCCAATAGCATGCAGACCTGACTGAAATTGATATACAAGGTTTTGATACAGTTGTCAGATGAATCCCCCTATCCTCACATCCGCCTAAAAGGGTTTGTTCGTCGGGTAGTCGTCGCGCCATATCCTTCTCATATCTGATGATGTCTTTAGCATATGTAAATAAATGTAATAACTTGTACCAACGCACCTTCGAGACATCTCTGGCATAGTCGGTGCGTTCTCTTGGTCTCTCCACAGCCAGGGCATTTGCATAGGCTGTTCACATCTTTCAGGGCCTTGCCAGCCATTTGTCTGTGTCGCTTACGAGAGTGTGACACTTTATTCTTGGGTACCGCACGTAGAACTGATTCCCAAATGTCGCCTAGCAAGGTCGGAATGTTCAAACTTACTCCCGGTACAGCAACCGAGAGTGTAGGGAAGAGTCGGGAGGTGAAGAATCGGGTATAGAACGTAGCCCAGCGCGGAGCAGGGGCAGTTGTTGGGAAGGACAGACGGGAAAGCATCGATGCGGTAGCAGCAGCCATCTTTGAGAATTATTGAAGCCGGATGGACTTCTCCAGGTAGGTTCGAGATGGTCGTCGATGAGAATGCGGTCGATGGAAATCGTAGACTCGAGGATTTTCGATGACCAAAAAATGAGGCTAAATAATTAACATCTGCAGGTCCTCGCAAGTCTCGGTCCAGTATCGTTGGACCGGATCTTGAAGCTCTCACAACTTTACTTGTCAGCCCTCCAAATCGCAAATTCGCATGTCACTTCCATCAAAAGTCTGCCCAAAGCTTTCTCTTGTGGTGGCTTTCATCAATCATTGCCGGCCAATCAAGTACCTCTAATGCACGGACTAAATGTGGGTCAACTGCCAGCTTCAAAGGCAATGTCCCCAGATGCCCCTTCCCCCTTTCTTGGTCCCTGCACCTTCTTTGGGTCATTGAAATTATCGCTTGGGATTGGCAGGAACGCCAAGTTGGCCTGGCGCCCCAAAAGTTACCCCTTCTTGGATCTGTCAACGACGACTGCTCCAAATTCCAGCCTTACTCTTGTCGACCGCCTTGCACTCTATCCTTGATCGTGCACATCTGTCGTCGTCTTTCGCAGTCTTTCGTCCATCCTGCAGATTTCATCCAGATTTCTTGGAATAGGGTTCGGATTTTTACATCTCAGTTTCAACAGCCATCGCCGTACCTCCTTAGTGCATCTAGTTCCCCCCCGCCTACTAGATCTACACAATGGCTGCCGCGAACACCATCTTCCCCAAGAGCCACGTCGGTTTTGACAGCATTACTTCTCAGATTGAGAAGAAGCTGCTGAAGCGTGGTTTCCAGTTTAACGTTATTTGCGTTGGTACGTCGCGAGGGTGAACCCGGAAGCTGGACAGACAACGGAACTAAAGCTAACCCTTTGTTATCGGTGAAGGCCAGACTGGTCTAGGCAAGTCGACCCTGATCAACACCATCTTCGCTTCGCACCTCATCGACTCCAAGGGTCGTCTGCAGCCTGACGAGGCTATTCGCTCTACTACCGAGATTCAGAGCGTTTCCCACATCATTGAGGAGAACGGCGTTCGATTGAGGCTCAACATCGTCGATACCCCCGGTTATGGCGACCTGGTCAACAACGACCGCTGCTGGGATCCCATTGTCAAGTATATCAAGGACCAGCACTCCGCCTACCTGCGAAAGGAACTCACTGCTCAGCGAGAACGCTACATTCAGGACACCCGCATTCACTGCTGCCTGTTCTTCATCCAGCCTTCAGGTCACTCATTGAAGCCTATCGATATTGTTGTCTTGAAGAAGCTGTCCGATGTCGTCAACGTCGTTCCTGTCATTGCCAAAGCCGATACATTGACGGTTGAGGAGCGCCAGGCTTTCAAGGAGCGCATCAAGGAGGAATTTTCTTTCCACAACCTTAAGATGTACCCATATGACAATGAAGAGTTTGATGAAGAGGAGCGTTCCCTGAACGGGCAGATCAAGGTAAGTTTTGCTTCATGTTGGACGGATAATAACAAAATCTAAATTATGAAATAGGGTCTCGTTCCATTTGCTGTTGTTGGCTCCGAAAAGTCCATTATGATTGATGGTAAGCAGGTCCGCGGTCGTCAGAATCGATGGGGTGTCATCAACGTCGAGGACGAGAACCATTGCGAATTTGTTTACCTCCGCAACTTCCTTCTCCGAACCCATCTCCAGGATCTTATCGAGACTACTTCTCAAATCCACTACGAGACCTTCCGTGCGAAGCAGCTGTTGGCCCTCAAGGAGAGCAGTGCACACGGCGGCGGCGCGAGCAGCAGACCCATCAGTCCTGCTGCAGACCGAGAATTGAGCCGCAGTTCGCAAAGAATGGCCATGAACGGCTACTAAGCCAATGTTTCTGCTTAATCTTGTACTGGCGAGGGAGCAACGGCGTCTCTTGGCAGCTTGAGGGGGCATGCGGCCGACTATTTTCTTACGAACTTAAATATTTCTCACGGTGTCATGTGGGAGCAAAAAGGGCAGTGATATCCTTTATCTGGTGAGGGTTGGTCACATTGTCATATTGTGGTGCGACCTAGGACTTGCCAACAAGAACCTTTCTTTGGTTTTATAAAGGGGTTGTGGGAGGCGCCTAGCAGAAAGGCGGAGATTTGACCAGCCTACGGATCCGGAGCAATCAGTCTCAATATGCCAGAATCGAGCCGGGTTGAGTTTATGTAAGCTCTGGCACCGAATTTAACGGCGCCCCGCAATTCATGGGCCCAAGTCTATTTTATACGTGTTTTATTGTCTTTACTAGCACTCACATCAAGCTCTTTTTACCATTTCTTAGTCTTTAATCAGACCTCATACCTTGCACTCCAAGTATAGCTAGAGTTGGCTTCGTCACCCAAGAAAATGAAACGATGATGGGAAGAAAAAAAAGTTGATTCCTTGCAAGTTTGGGCTGTGTTGCAGGTTTTGTCTATGCTTTTATATACATCTAGAGCATTGTATAAATCTTATTGTAAGGTACATTGTGTATTGGCTCCTTCTGATGTAAGTGCCATGCATATTATTATTTCACGCTTTTGAAACGTCATCTTCGTACCAGTATATCTATATCATCTCTAGCGTATCGTCGTCAGGGTCATTAGTCCGAGGATTGGTAGATGTACTCCTCAAGCTCCTTGTAAGCCTTGTCGAGATCATCATTGACAATGATCTTGTCATGAACGCCCGGAGTCTTGGAAAACTCGAGTTCAATATTCGCCTGGTTCAGTCTATTCTGGATACTGGCCTCGTTTTCAGTACCACGGCCACGGAGACGCGCTTCCAGGATCTCGAGCGACGGAGGAGCAATGAAAATGTATCGAGCAGCGATGCTAGATTGTTTGATCTGCTTGACTCCCTACTCTTCAAGTCAGCATGCGCCCCTCAATCAGCATCCCCCGTTCACTTTTGGTTGAATAGACGAACCTCCATTTCGATATCGAGCAACACAACCTTTCCCTTCTTTGTTTGCTCCTCAATCGTCATCTTGCTCGTTCCATAGCGATTGCCCCCAAACTGGGCGTGTTCCACGAACCCATCCTTGGCAATGAGATCTTCAAAGTCGCCCATGGACACGTAGTGGTAGTCCACACCGTTGGCTTCGCCGGGCCGTGGGGAGCGAGTGGTGTGCGAGACGGACAGGCAGAATGTGTCTGGGTGTTGGGCGAAAAGACGGTTATACAGCGTGCCTTTGCCGACGCCTGATGGGCCGGAGATGACGATTGGGCGGCGGTCCAGCGGTGCTGGTGAAGGTTAGCCGCCATGGATGGTCTATTGGGTGATGACGGAGTGATTGGTAGCTCTGCACATACGGGTGGCCATTGTAAGGAATTGGCGGTAGTTGTGGGCTCGGGTCGGCCTTTGGACTATTACTGGGACGAATATGCGATGGACGCGGGGCATGAGAATGATGTGAGAATGGTTGTACAGATCTGGAGAATGGTGGTGGAGGCCTATTTTTTTGTGTCGGCCGCGGTACCTGGTTTGATGTGGGTATCTGGATTGGGAAGGCGGTCTATGGACTCCAGTGCCCATCCAACTTGAGGATTGGGATGATGGTATGGTGGCTTTACTATTAGCATGGCATTCCACCAAGATGGCAATTGTGCTTTCTCGATGCCAGCGCGGATGGATCTTTCCCTCCGACTGTGGCAATCCAACCAGCCATATGGAGAGTCTCTTAGGCTGGCCTACTATAGGGTAGCATACAAGTTTATTTAGTGACATTATCCTCGGCCCGTTATTATGTCACCCACCTTCGACGTTGCATTTTGCTGTCTATATTTTATTATATTCCTAGGTCACTTGGTGGATTAATAAGAGGGTGCATTTTGGTACACACATGCAATAGGATCCATATGGTAAAATCCTCTGTTCTGCACTGGGGACTTGGTATCCATGAACCATATTGCCATCATTAACACAGCCCCCAAGTCCACGCCATTTGGATCGCGGAAGGTATTCAGGTTTCGTCAGAGTAGCTGAGTCCTGGCCTTTGTTGCGGTGACTTGGCGTTGTATGGGTCGTCGGAGTGGTCATGTCGTTCGGCTGGCTGCTTGTGCCGTCAACAGGCTGTTGAAGTCTACATTACAACCTAGGACCAACGTCGAAGCGCCCATGTTGACAAATTTAAGTGGCTCGTCCACTTAGTCGCTGACGGGTACATCTCGACCCATCTAACGGAGAATGGTACCTTGCTCTTGCTTGACTTTGGGAAAGTAGCGAGACGGAAGACCGGCGGATAAGAGCGTTAGGCTGTCAGAGTCCCAGTCGGCGAAATACACAGGCGGCTTGGCTTGGTGGCAATACAAGGTTATTTCGTGCTTGTTTGCGGGGCGCTCACCGTCATTGAAGTTCATGGGAATGGGCATGGGGGAAAAAAATTTCGGGTAAATCATGTCCATATCCATGTTGAATTCACCACACGGGGCACCTGGGTCAGATGGCACTTCCCCTGGACGCGGGATGATAAAATAATTGCTGGATCGGGTGTGGCTGAGCAACGTTGAAGGGGCCCTTGGTCAACTTCTTCAACGACGTTGGTGAATATCACGGTGGTTGTATTAGGTATCAGGTCCATTTAGAGCGTTGGACGGGTCAAGGGCGGCGAGATTGGACAATCATCGAATTGCGGGACGCAAGAAATGACGGAGCAATGAATTGTTCTTGACCCCAGGACCTTCACCCCTGGTCTAAATTCCACGCGCTAGCGTCGGAGAAATTGTGAACTGTGAATCCTGCATTGTGATAGGACAAGAGAGGTGTTGACGTTGGCAAGTTGAGTGGTAGCAGCCGCAGGAACAGATGCATATTTGCATGCACGGAGCAGCCTGTGACAGTCTTGTGTATCTGGACGGTGAGTCGTCGAGCCCAGTTTCTCCTGGTTTCGTACTAGTGAGGAAATGGTCATGAGAGTCATGGCATTCGGTTTGCTTTGGTGTTTAGAAGTGGGAGTGCATGACTGATGTGAGGCAGGAGCAAGAGACCAGACATGACATGGACCACGAGAGAA